TGAATTGAAGATTATCAAATATCAAATACTGAACTGATTTTTAAAATTCAATCACTTTTTTTTTTCTCCGTTCAGAACTAATAAAAATAATAACAATAATATATTTTCTAAATGTTTAAAGAAAACCAAAATGATAATATTGTTAAAGGAAGTGAAGTGGAAGAAATGGAAAAGAATGATTTAACTTCTTTAACACCCGAAGCAATAACAAAGAAAAAGAAGAAAAAGAAAAAGAAAACCAACACTGCTAATAGTAATACTACTGAAACTACTGAAAACGTAAAGGAAACTGAAACAACAGAAACAGGTATAATAATAATAATAATAATAATAATAATTATAATATTTAATAACATTTAATTCTTTAAATTCTTTGAACAAATAACTAATTATATTAATATTGAAGATAATCCCAAGGAAATAGAAGAAGAGAATGAAGAAGAAGAAGGAATTGAAGCTGGTGGAGGTGAAGGAGGTGAAGGAGGTGAAGGTATGTTATTAATTTGATAAATCGATAAATAATTTAATATAATTTATAATTTAATTTAATTTAGTTTTAATTTAATTTTAATTTATTCAATATATTATTATTGTTATAATTTAATTTAATTATTCAATATATATATCTTTAATTATAATTTAAAGTTTCAAAAAAGAAAAAGAAAAAGAAGAAATCAAAAAAGAAGACAGGAAAGGTAGAAGAATCAGGAGTAAATATTAATAATAATAATAATAATGATACTTCTACAATTCAACAATCTGAACCACCTAGAATTCCAGTTAGTAAATTTTTCCCTGATGGAAAATATCCAATTGGAGAAATATGTGAATATAAAAATGAGTAAGTAATTATAATATTATTATTAAAAGTTTTATTTAAAATATATATATATATATATATATTAATTATTATTATTATTATTATTATTATGTAAATATATAAATAAAAAAAAAAAAATAGTAATTTGAAGAGAATAACTAATGAAGAAAAACGACATCTTGATAGAATACATTTTGATGCTTATAATGATCTTCGAAAAGCTGCTGAAGTACATCGACAAGTAAATATAATAATAAATAATATAATGAATAATAATATAATGAATAATGATATAATAAATAATAATATAATTATAATATTTTAATATAATAATTAATATAGGTACGAAAATATGCACAAAAAACCATTAAACCAGGAATGACAATGACCGAAATATGTGAATTAATTGAGGATGGAACACGTGCTTTAATTGAGGAGAATGGATTAGAAGCTGGTAAATAAATAATAACAATAACAATACAATAAAAATAATTATTATTTATTATTATTATTATTATAATTATTACAATTATTATTATAATTATGTTTGCTACACTCTGAGTTCATCTTTATTTAAATATCTATAGATGATTTACAATTTTTATGCAAACAATATTAATTTAAATATATCCTTGTTACTCACCTTTCACTTTTAATAATATTTAATAAGATGAATTGGTCTATTTCAGAGGATACAATTTCATTATTTCATTATTTACTAATGATGATGATGATGATTAATTTAATATATTTTGAAATATAATATTTATAATATTATAATTTTTATAATTTGAAATATAGGAATTGGATTTCCAACTGGTTGTTCATTAAATCATTGTGCAGCTCATTATACTCCAAATTCTGGTGACAAAATAGTTTTACAATATGATGATGTTTGTAAAATTGATTTCGGAACACATATCAATGGTAATTATTATTATTATTATTCGATTTTTATATTTCAATAATCAAAAATAAATAAATAATTAATTATTATTGCTTTTATATTATAGGTCGTATCATTGATTCAGCATTTACGCTTACATTTAATCCGGTTTATGATAAACTCAAAGAAGCTGTCAGAGATGCTACAAATACTGGAGTTCGTGTATGTAATATAATAATAATATAATTAATTAATAATTAATAATAATAAATAAATAAATAAAAATAAATAAATAAAATAAAATAAATAAATAAATTGTTTAGGAAGCAGGAATAGATGTTAGATTATGTGATATAGGAACTGCAATTCAAGAAGGTATTTATTATGTTTATTGATATTTGAATATATAATATATTCTGATACATAATTAATATATATATTTTTATTTTATTAAAAAAAAA